CGACTCATCTCGCGACCAACTTCACGGACTTTGCACCGCTTTGCACGGTCCGCAAAGTCCGTCCACGTTTGGCTGCACTCTTCTGTACTTTCCGCGCCCAACGGGGGAAGGGGGGGGGTACATCGCTGGGGAAAGACGTGGAAAGGCGAGAAAAGCGCAACCAAAACGAGATTTAAAATCTCTCGCGAGAATCTACGCGAGAATCCGCGCGAGGGTGCGAGATGCTGAGATGCGGCGCCGAGAATAGCCTGGAACAGCCGTCGCGTCGCAAAGAAAGCACTCTATATCGGGGAATCGGCTCGTATTACACACGGGACGGGGAGAAGGGAGAGAGACTTCTATTCTTGCGACGTGAGTGGCCAAAACGTCGTGGGAGAGTGCGACTTTTCGCGAGGAGCTTAGCACGCTCGCCCGATTTCACGGCGGCAATCGGTCTGGTCTCGCTCTGAGAAAATTGGGTGAACCGCTAATCAAATTCGGTAGGGAGGGGGGAGGCGGGGACGAGAAAAGGGTTGATTCTTAGGTTAAAACGTTATCCTCCCGTACCTTGCGGCAAGTCTGACTGTCCGCTCTCCTGGTTTCCACCAGAGTATTGTCCAAGTCGAAGAAAACGGCGCTCAGGGACGCGTTGGATGAGAAGGACCGTGAATTGCGACGCTCGCGGAATACAGCTTCCATCGCCATTCCCTGTGACAGTGCAACGGCGGTGCCCATCAAGCGCACAAAGAGCACGGACCATCGCGCTACCTCATTAATTTGCATATCGGCACCATGAACTGAAAAGTTACTTGATCAACCGCGGTTCGCGCAATTGCGGTGCAAATTGAGGGAGGTGGCATGAAGTATGTCATAAAAGTGAGCTTAAGGCAGCCATGTTGAATTATCTGCCGGACTGCCATGCAAAAAAGAAATACAAATATTCTTTCAAGGCTCACCAGGTTAAATCGAACAACACTCTCAACGAGCCTTTATGAGCCAATACTAGATTTTAATGTGAAAATTAATAATTACATGGATGTACAATATAGTACAGTACCACCGACGAGATACTATTAAAGATCGTCACCCCTGGGCAAATTTTCGGCGGTATAAAAAGGGCCCGGAGGTAATCGAAAAGTGCTGACATTATCGACAATTGATATAAATTTGCTATTATATTAACATAAATATTTGACCAATACATTATTAAATTCATGATATTTTATTACATAAATCTATAAATAAATATGCATATTTGTAAAGCTATAATATCCTATATAATGCCGAAAAATTATAATTTTTTTTCTCTGCAGTTATTATCTCTGTTGATAATCAAACTTTGACGATAACACTGAAATCATAATTTTAAAGAAAAATCGAGTGTTATTGAGTTTTAAATGCACGTACACCGATAAACACGTCTACTAAACTAATAAATCATAAAATTAGTACAATCAGTTTTTAGTAATATCAGTTTTTTTACTCTTAATCACTTCAATATTAACAAGGACGCGAACTCCCATAAGGATGTGTCGGTCTTTAATAATATCTCGTCGGTGACAGTACATAAGTAGATGTTTCGACCTTTGGTTGAGATCCTTTTAAATACATTTACACCCCCATTAATTATCCCTATCTCAAATATAAAGTTATACATAGTAATGTCCTATTGCATCCTGGTCGTCAAATTGGTAAATTTGCTATATTGTGTAAAAATATTTCAATTTTTATTTAAATTATGTATCAATAAACAGTACAAATTTTTGAAAAAATGAACTTACAAGATTGGCAGAAATGCATGGTTATTCATTTGGTACATGTTTCACTGGACTGCTGAGTTCACTGCAACGATGTCATTCAAAATGAGTCAACTATCTTTAATGAAGTTCATCTTAATTACTTACGTGCAACCACCAAGACGAGCTAAATATTTTTTCAGTTCGCCAGATAAAATTCAACTGACATCTCCCGAGAAACAGCAAGCCAACAAAACATGTACTTACAAAGTCAATGGTATAAACAAAAATATAATAAATATAAGGAATGAAAGCATTACTTCACCGAGAATAAATCCATATATAAATCATTGAGAGACATTGTATCATTTTGCAAATTAAGACCCGATTTTTGTCTTTTTATATATATCATTTCAGATAACAATTTTTTGTGCCAAATTTTTTCTCTATCCAGTATCTGTACGTTATTCCAATCAAATTCATAAGACTCATTTAATCTATGTTGCAAAAAAAATGTAAGGGTAAAATCACACGGTGCGGAAGAAGATGCGAATAGAGAATGCGTCATTGAAGCAACCCAAGAAGACTAGAACCAGGAGAGTCAACTCGTGCCAATAGCGGTAGTGGGGGTGAGGCAAAAAGTGGCGACGGATAACTTCCCCCACTCTTGCGCTTCATTAGTCCTCTCTGTCGCTCTATATAGTCGTCGCTCTGTCGTTCTATAATCGTCACTTTGTCGCTCTTATATCGAACTTTCACACAATGCGCAGTGCCGCTGCACATCGTGTGAATAGCCGCGGACGTTTTTTGACTCATCCCCACCACGCGAGTTGACTCTCCTGGTCTCTAGTCACAGTCTCTAGTCTTCTTGAAGCAACCAATCAGCGCTATTCGGAATATGCTTCAATGACGCATTCTCTATTCCGCAGTCTTTTTCCGCGCCGTATGATTTCACCCTAACGGTCCGTCCTCCTGTGACAGTCGGAAATTTCGAAAAAAGAAATTTTGAAAAAACTATATAGGCTACGTTCCACTTGATGCTACAAATGCTTTGAAGCATTTGATGGTTTGCTTTGATTGGTCAATTAACAAAATTCTTTCATCCGATTGGTCAATCAAACGCTTCGAAGCATTTGTAACGTCAAGTGGACCGCACCCCGCAACTATAGTCACAGAATTGATCAATCAGAGCGTTTTCAAGCGTTTTTCAAGACCAATAAAAAAATACTTCAAAACTTGTGTCGCGTCATCGACTAGTTGAGGAATGCATGAACTAAAACTAATATCTCACGGTCGATAACGTGGTCATGTCAATCATGGCTGCGTTCCGTTTCACCACCGACGAGATACTATATTAAGGCCCGGTTGTTTCACCTTTTGGTATATTTTACCTGTTGGGTAAGTAGCAAGATTATCCAATCATATGCGCGGATTGCCAGATTTATCTCACAGGTAAAATTTATCAAAAAGTGGAACAACTGGCCCTAAAGACCGTCATTCCTGGGTATATTTTCGGCGGTATAAAAAGGGTCCGGAGATAATTGAAGAACGCTGACATTATCGATAATTGATATAAATTTGTTATTATTAAAATAAATATTTGGCTAATATTATTAAATTCATTTTTTATTACATAAATGCTCCATAAATAAATATACATAATTGTAAAGTTATAATATCCTATATATTGCCGAAAAATTACAATTTTTTTCTCTGCAGTTATTATCTCTGTTGATAATCAAACTTTGACGCTAACACTGAAATCACAATTTTACAGAAAAATCGAGTATTGAGTTTTAAATGCATATATACTGATAAACACGTCTACTAAACTAATAAATCATAAAATGAGTACAATATTATCAATTTTTTTACTCTTAAGCCGACGATACACGTTGCTTGTTTTCTTGCTGGATTGCTAGTTAGAATAAATTCTTGCTTCCGTATTGGCTACGATGCTGACACTGTCAGTACCGCAGCCAATACAATGGCAAGATTCTAATCCAGCTAGGAATCCAGCAGGAAAACAAGCATCGTATGCCGCAGGCTTTAATCACTTCAATATTCACAAGGACGCGAATTCCCGTAAGGATGTCGGTCTTTAATAATATCTCATCGGTGGTTTCACGCATGATACGCATAATGCATCTTTTATCCTTGTTATTCACCGAATGTTAAACAAGGATAAATGATGCATTATGCACATTAAGCTGGTTCTGCATTAGTCGCATTGCAGCGTCGCAAGCGTTGCGGTCCAATCAACGTCGAGCTAGCTCGACTCTGATTGGACTGCAACGCTTGCGACACGCTGCGACGCTGCGATGCGATCAATGTAGAACCAGCTTTAAGCTTTAAGCTGTTTAACCAGCTTTAAGCAGCTTTAACCAGCTTTAGTCCGGATCTACAATAGATGTTTTAAGCCTTAAGTCGTAAGAAATTGACCAATTACAGTCGAATCCGAGGGGAATAATCGACTGTGATTCGCCCATTTCTTATGACTTAAGGCTTAAAACCCTATTGTAGATCCGGGGTTAAGGTATATCCACACAAACTTGCATGTATGCATAAAGAAAATTATCCAATCACATTTCTTCTATAAAGACGCATGTAAATTGTGATTGAACAATTTTCTTTATGCATACGTTTATGTGGCTATACAAGTTTGTGTGGATATACCCTTAAGGCTTAAAACTCTATTGTAGATCCGGACTTATGCAGCGAGCCGAGCAAAGTAAAGCCGGCGGCACACGATGCTTGTTTTCCTGCTGGATTGTTCGCTGGATTAGAATCTTGCCACCGTATTGGCTGCGGTGCTGCCAGTGCCAACATCGCAGCCAATACGGTGACAAGATTCTAATCCAGCTAGAAATCCAGCAGGAAAACAAGCATCGTGTGCTGCAGGCTTAAGCGGGGAGCACAGCTTTTGCATAACGCATAACATGTAATACATAAGAAATTTAATCAATCAGAATTCTTTATTTCATGGAAAGGAAGGAAACGGAGGGCTTTGATTGGTACATTTTCTTATGCATTACGTGTTATGCGTTATGCAAGAGTCTGTGCTCCCCGCTTTAACATGTATTGATCAGTATGCAAGAGAGTAAGCATAAAAATCATGTATCGTGTGCGGCCAGTTTAACGCACGAAGTCCGAAGGTGCGAGTTGACAAATTTCTACGAGTTTATACAATTGAATTGCGTAAAAAAGTATTATTATATTAAAATATCGAAATGGTAGCGTACTGCTTTGTCCAAGGTTGCACAACCAGCAAATATAAAAAGATAAATGTATGGGTACCTATGTACAGGTAAGTAAAAATTAACCTCAAATATATATACAATTTTGTTACGGTAGAAAATAATTTTTTATTTATATTTTTCCAGATTTCCCAGTGACGAAGAATTTCGAAAAAAAAAATGAATAAACGCATTACTTATTTTACACAAACAAAGTAATGCTACGAATCCATTAAAATATAGCAGTCTGCATCAAACACTTTGCAGAAGACCAAATTGAACAATTTGGGCTGCAAAGTGTTCGTTTAAAAAAGAATGCTGTTCCAAGTATTTTTCCGAATGTGGAACAAAGGTAAAGTATAATAAAAACTGTGTATTTACGATAAAGAAGATTAGTAAAATTACTTTATAAAAGTAACTCATTACTATTACCATTCTATTTTCTAAAAGGTAACTCATTACCGCGATTGATTATTTGAAGACTAATAAATTATTATTATTTTTGTTATTTTTTTGTCTTGACATTAATAGAATATTACATGCAAATTTTTACTTAATTCATGACAAATATAAAATGTCATAGAATATCTATATCTTATAGTAGAAAAAATAGTAAGTAAAGAAATAAGACTCAAACATCATAAATTTATTTAAAAAATAAAATTTTTGTCATTATATACACATATATGTATGTAATATGTATTAAATATGTAGATATATATTAATTCTTTTTAGTAAAATTTTTTATTCATTTTTACAGTAAGGAAATATCTGAGAATGGAGATAATTTAAATCCTAACAAAATTAATGAAATTAAAGAATCTCAAGTAAAGAAGCCAATTATGCAAGATTTAAATAATTCAGTTAAATCCAATGAGGCTGATGAAATTAATTTAAATGAGTTACAAAAAATATTGTAGAAGAAAAACCAGCAAGTCATTTTTGCAGCGAAGAAACTGATACGTACTGTTCCAATACGAAAGTTGAAGAATGTATTGTAGCTCAAGAAACTGATGCGTTTTCTTCCAAAATGCAAGTTGAGGAATCCATTGTGATTCAAACTACTGAAAGTAAAAAGATTGGATATCCTGGAGATATAATGGATACAGTAATAGAAAATGTCTCGAGAAGAAATGATAAATATCATTAAAATGTTGAAAGAAACGACAAGAAAGAAAAGTGTCATAAAATGTTTGCGAACTCAACTTTTACGTAGACAAAAAAGAAGACAGCTTAAGCACATTAATGACCACGTTTACACGGTACCCTTACTCGAGATTAATAACATATGTAGTTACGAAAACTGATCAATCGTAACTATTTCTCTGAGGAATGGAATGATTGTGATTAGTTACTTTCTAACTACAGATGATATTAAACCCGATTAAGGATGACTGTATAAACGTAGTCGTTAAGGCCCGGTTGCACCAAATACTTAAAAACTGTCTCATTTTAAAGCCGAAAGAGAGGAGAGAGTTTTCAACCTCGCTTAAAGTCAACATAACATTGGTGCAACCGGACCTAAAAGACTTAAAGTAAGAATATAGTCTTCCTTCTGATTGTTGTAAAACATTACAGGTAAAAATAAAAATTAAATTTATTATACTATTAATTATTTATTATATTTATATATTTTTGTATACGATGTATTAAATAAACTAAGTTGTAATTATAGTCAATGATTATAAATTATTACAATTCAGGTCCAATTCCACCAAAATTGGTATTTCCGCCTTATCGTCGAATGATTTGAAAAATGCTCACGCATAATGACTCAAACTCTAATTGTGGTTTGAAATATTTCCCATTATATTCGGTGTAATGCTGCTTCTAATTCGTGAAGATTCATTGGTGGTCTTTTCAAACTCCAAACTTTATGCGAAATCATAAATAATATTCCTATCCTAAATGTTTCATCATCGTACAAAACGTCAAGTTTAAATATTGAAAATGAAGATGAAAACAATTATATTTTAACGAACGATATACCACTGCTATATATCAATGCTGCTAATGATCACGCAATTACGTACATAGCAGAATGCGTCGAAAAAAAATTTTTGAATGTCATACATAATTGTCCAACTGTTGAACGAATGTGAAGAAATAACATCTACGTTTATCAATAGAAAAAATTGTGGATTTTTAACCCGGGAATAGGCGCATCTCGAAACTAACGTTACTAGGCGCGTCCTGGTCGTTTAGACCGAAATATATTATGTTTATAATATATATATTATATTTATAATATATATATTTACACACATATATAATTATAATTACTATAAGTAATAATTAATAAGAAAATATAAATGTTAACATGGCTCAATTAGAATAAATCAATAAATAAGAAAACGTTCCGACAAGGCTTTATATTAATCAATTAAAAAGGAACGTAATAATCACTGGAAATAATTGTTTTTATATGATATATCTTTATTTTAATTTTATCTTTTTTTATTCGTATAATAATTATTGATAAATAATGAAATAATAAGAAAATTGTAATAATTTTATTTTTTATTTATAAAAATATAATATTTTTGCATGCAATTCATTCATTTTCTCCGGATGATTCCGTTTCTGGGAAGTCTGTGCATTTAGGACATAACATATATGCATGTTCATTACAAATATGAGAAGTACATATTTGACATTGCTTCTTTGTTTTTCGATTTTTTGTAGATGAGCAAAATCTACATCTTCCTTGTGAATTGATTCGTGCTAGAATTGTCGATTTTTTAAGTATTTTTGAAATACGTTGTCTCAATGATCTTGATAAAGTACACGTTTCTAATCGATTTTCTAAATGCTGTTGTACTAATTCCATCCCGAGCTGCTTCAAAAATGAACGTCGTATCGTTTTATATTTGTTGTTAGTCTGATACACTATTTGTGCATTGATTGCACCTATATCCAATGTCGAAAAAAAAATAATTAGTGACCATCTATTACTTTTTCTTGAAACTGAATATGTGCTTATCATTCCATCGAAAACATCGATACTTTCTTTCGTGCGATTATAGAACTCGATAATTTGTGGTATCTTTTTAGGATCATCATCATTCAAAGCATCATCGTAATGCATTGTAGATAAAAGTAAAGCTGTCTTTTTTTTTTTGGGAACATATGAAACCAATGTCATATTTTTGGAAAATCTAAATTTGCTTGAATATAATTCTCTTCTTTCAGAAGTAACAAAAGAAGATGGTATTTCTTTTTCGTTCTTTTGAATGGTAGCCACTATTGTCAGATTATTGTCTTTCAAAAGCGCTTTCGCTAGAGAAACAGAAGAGAACCAATCATCCATAGTAATATTACGTCTAGTTCCAGAAATTGGTTGAACCAAACGTTTGACTACATCAAAAGCATCGTTACTGACTTTATATGGACCATCCGGTTGTGTTTCTGAGTATATTTCAAGATTAGTTGTATAAAGTGTTTGAGTATCCACAAGAACAAAGATTTTTATCCCATATTTTTCAGGTTTCGATTTTATGTATTGAGGAAACGAACATTTTCCTCTGAAACGATCTAGCATTATCTCATCAACTGTGGCATACTCACTAATATTATAATGAGTTTTGCAATTAGCAACAAAATCCTCAAATATTTCCCGAATAGCTGCTAATTTATCAACAAGTATTCTTTCTTGTCTATCATCTATATTATCAAATCTAATACATTTGAGTAAAAATCGCATTCTTTTATATGACATGGTTGCTCTAAAAATATCGCATCCAGTTCCATCATTATCGTATAAATCCTGTAAATTTTGGTATGAAGATCGCATAACAATACCAGCAAGATACAGAAGTCCAATAAGTGCTTTAATTTCAGTAAGCGTCGTG